TGACCATACCTGAAAGAATTTAGGGGGCATGTGGATGTGACACTTGTGGCCATGATTTAAAAGCATAGATGTCAGTCCTGAGATATTGGTTGGACACAATCATATTAGAGGTCTTTTCCAACTGTAAAGATTCTACAATTCTGTGTATAAGTTCAGTTTCCAGTATTTATTTCCTGTGTTGGGAGGCACAATACAGTGTTTATGATGGAAATAATAAAATTCTTGACTATGAAATGAGAAGATTCACAAGGGCTAAGAGGAAGCATTTTCACAAACCCTGAAAAAAAGTTGTCCCCAGGATTTTCATAGCACTCTTTCAGGTGAAAAACCTGAATGGTCAGACAGCAGTTGCAAAAGAACTCTCTGTGTAGCCACATTATCTTGTTACAACCTTCAAACACAGATTTACAACAGTGTTCAAGGCATGAATTGTTCTGTAGGTGCATGGAGCCATGTCTGCTCTGGTTTGTGTACTGTGTCTTGTCTGAGAAAAAAAAGTAGGTTTTAAATCCTTAATGAAGTCATTAGTGTAGGTGCAGTGAGTGTAGTTGCAATAAGTGGTAAAATGAGCCATACACAGATGGCTTCCATCCCCTCCCCTTTTAACAAATACAGCCTGAAAAGAAATTTGTAGCTTTGCGATAAAATAAACTGTGCTATCCTGACCCTACTGGAAAACAATAAACCAAAACAAAAACCCAAAACATTGTTAAGACTAGTAGTTATGCTACCCTTCTTTCTGAAAATCAGTTTTTACTCTATGTCATACCTAACAGAGATCTGTGATAAAAAAAATGCAAGTATCAGTATAAGGTAGATATGAATTTTATTTTTTCTTTAAAAATGGCATAAAAATATTACAAATATCATTATTAGTGTACCTGGCATTATGCAGTTCTGTTCATTTATTTTTGATTTATATTTGTCTTTGAGCATTTCTGCTCTCTGCAGTCTCCGCAGACAATTACAGCAGTGTTTTTCTGCAGAGCTGGGAATAGTACTGGGAAGCAGGTTTTACATGATCATGAAAGAATTCGATTGCATTAAAAAGATACATTCTCCAGCTGCATTATACGACTAGAAGCTGTAAAGAGGAGCCTGTAATTCCAATACAACTGCAGCAGGTGGCACTAGAAGGAGGGTTAACCAAGGCCATGACGCAGACAGAGGACCAAGAAAACTAAATAGGAAAAGACGAACACAAATATTTAAAAATTTTTATCTTTCTTTCTAGTCGCCTGAAACAAAGTTGCAGTGTCACTGCTAGTTGTCTAGTAAATGTGGGCTTGATGGAGCTGAATTAGTGAAAGGTGAGGTGAAGAGGGTCGTAAGTTAATAGCTAATTTCTAATTTGGTTGATATCTTTGAATGAGGAATTTGCTGGGAAGGAATAAAACAAATATTCTCAGTCAGCCAGTATGAATGCTGTCGACTTTTCATACTTTTACTTTTGTGCTTTGCAAGCAAATTATTATTTTTTGTTATTAAATAATGTGTAGTGAATAACTGTGATACACTGAAAACAATTGTCCTGTTGTTAAAGTGGACTTTGTACTAGAAGCAGAAGAAAATGCTCATAGCTTTTTTCTAAAAATTGGTTTACGATTAATAAGCATATCACAATAGTTCCAGGAGCATGGTTACCATGTATTTAAAAAATTTTCTTCTTTATAAACAAAAAGTCACAGTAATTTTAAAGAGGAATAATTTCTATTAGGTTCTGTCTGATAAGAAAAAGGACTTCACTACAAGGTCCTTCATTTGTAAGTGAAGGCTGGCAATACCCAGATCAACCAATTCAAGTTTTGAACAACTAAATTTTGCAGTTGTTTTAGCTGCAAGGATGAATTTGTAACAAGACACAGTTGTTTGGGGGAACTTATAGTCTTGCTAAAGAATATACATATGAAGATCAAGTGGGAAGGACCCTCTATCAAATCAAATGGTCATGATACATTTTAAAGGCAAATAAAATGAGTAAGTTTTTTAGTGTTTGAGGAAAATTTCAAAAGCAAAATACGAGAAGATACACAAAACACTGGAAGAGTGGGGGAAATTTTAAAATTACCATGGGAAAAGAGACTTGTAAGAAACAGAAAGACTTGTCTGGGTTCCATAAAGAGGAGTTCAGAAGTTACTGAAAACGCTGGACGCTGTATGGAAGAGAAATGGCAATTGAGATACTGGCATACAGAGATAAGATTATATGAGCAGAAATATTTCATGGATGCAGGAGGAAGATATGATGCAGAAGCAAAGAGGAGGTTGCAATATTCTGCGTGAGTCAAGCTATGCTATTTTTTGTACTTTACCAGTGCCAAATACCATAGATTCATCCCTGGATAAATAGATTATTATCTTGATATTCCAGATACATACTGTATAGACTGCTGCAATTCTGTCTGTCCAAACAGAAACATATGTACATATTTCGGAATACCATTTTATTCCAAGACTGGCTTTTCCATAATTATAAAAGTAAATTGTATCCATGTGTATATTTGCATGCAATTCAGTCCAAAAAAAAAAAAAAATAGCAGAAAATCCTATGACCTTTGTCTGTTAGATGTTCCTTTTTGGTGACTGTAAGCTATTTTATAAGACAAATATTTACCCACAATGGCATTGTCCTTTTTACTGAATTTACATTACATTACCAGAATAATAATTCTTCCTGATTCAGTGCCCTGGAGATCTTAGAGCTAATCCTAAAGAACATTATTACATTGAAAGTCCTTGCCAAGATTTTATGTGATATTTGTCCTATTTTTAAGCATGAAATTTTGTCTAGCTGCAGAGTCAAGGACCATCTCATGGGATATTCTTTAGAGATGGGATGCAGCACATGGAACATTTTTATGCTCATATTAATTTAGTTAGAAGGTCAATATTAACTCAAGGAACTATATAGCAAAGAAATCCAGCTTCTGGACAAATGACTGTATGGTTTTACTAAACCCTGGGAACAGACTGTAGAATTTAAAGGATGATTTAGGAGAGCTAGAAGGCAGGTTATGATTCACATAATCTTTAATACAGTTTCTCCATGCATTTTCATTCAAATAAAAGTTGACATAGAGAAGTGGAAGGCCAGCTACATAATAGATTATTAACTTCACTTCAAATTTTCTACCTAATATAGCAATTTAGAAATAGGCCTTTTTTTTTCCTTAATCATGCTAGTTTGCTATTTTTAAAAGAATGTAACAAAAACCTGCATTAATCACATTTCAAATTTTTTATTTTTAGTTGTTTTGGCTGATCTGAAATACATTTATGTAACACCTAACACAGTCTGGCTTAGGTAGCATGACACCAGAACACATTTTTACTCTTATTTCTGTTGATGAATAAGAGCATCCTTCAAGGAGTGAGGAAGCAGATTTAAATAAGCAACAAAAATTCAGAAGCTTTGGGAGCTTAACTCACGTTTCACGTTTATCCCCACAGTTATTCTTGACAACAAACAGTTCTAAGTGGCAACTTGCAGAAAATTCTATAGCATCTGCAACATGGAAGAGGGACATTCAGCAACATTGTACCTAGTGTCTGACCCACAGACAGCAGTATCACTTAGGATGGAAAATCCCGTTGGTGTAAAGGAGTGCTAGATAGTTAACATGAAGTAGGAAGACAAAGTTTGGACCCCTGGGCTGAATATACAAATGCTAAGTATGCTTTTTATACACCTCCCAGTCACAAGACACACAGTTTTGTTGTGTATTGTCATAGTAATTTCTGCCCAGACATAGACAGTTCATAGAGTGTGAACACTGCAGAAACAGCATGATGGGGTCATTGATGTGGTCCTTTAATGCAGCTTTTACCCTCAGTAATGTCAGGCGTTTGCTAATGCACAGTTAAATTTTTCACACTTGAGAAATAATGTCTCTAGAGTTAGCATGTACAGTAATTCAGCCTGTTTTGCAAAAAAAACAAAACCAAAAACAACAGCTACAAAGAAACAAGAAAAAAACAAACAAACAAAAAACCACCCAAACCCAGAGCACACATTTGAGGATATAGTTTGAATATAATGACTTAAAATTCCTCTGAAGCTCTTTCTCAAGTTAAGTTATTTCCCAAGCACAAGCAATAGGACAGTTTTAAGAGATCTTTGTGAAAGTATCGAAAGAAAAATGTTCCATGTGGTACCTGGGGGTTAAGTATTTTGGGAAAGCCAGGTGTAATTGTATATTTATATTATGTTTAGGTGTTTACTCTTAGGATGTAATTCTTTAATGCCAGCATTAATAGCAATAAAGCCCTCCAGGGACAGTGGTGGCGCCTTTTTCTGAGGGGCAGTCAATCACTCACTTCTCAAGTAAAGGCAGGCTGCTCATCTTACTCGCAGGCTTAGGTTCTCTGCTACAGGCAAATCGCTTTCCTTTAAGAGAGCGGAACTTGCAACGCTTTTGCATCTGAAAGTGTAAAAAGAAAAAAAAAAAAAAAGGGAAAAAAAAAAAAAAAAAAAAAAAAAAAGAAGGCAAGACAAAGAAGGAAAAGAAGGAAAAAGAATTACCACGCCGGGTAAAAAGGCTCGGCAGCACGCAGAGCCAGCGGTGCCCAGGCGCAGGCAGGGCAGGGCGGGCAGAGCGCGGCCGGCGGCGCTCGCTCCCGTGCCGGCCGCGCCGCCCACCGCCGTCCCCGCGGGGCCGCTCGGCTCCCACCTGCCGCCGCCAGGGGTGGCCAGCGCCGCCCGCCCGCCCGCAGCAGCAGCGGCGTGCGGAGCCGGGCCGCCCAGCAGCCCCCAGCGCTCTGTGGCAGCGCGGGCAGATATTCTCGCTCCTGCTCCGCAGGGCTTGCTGCTGCGAGACTGAGCAGCAGAGCCGGAGGTGTGCGCGCGTGTGCCAGGAGATGCGGAGCGCATTTGGCTGAGGTGCCTGGCCCCTGGGAAGCTCTGCGAGAAGAGGCGGGGAGAGGCGGTGGGAAAGAGGCAGGAGCAGAACTGAAGTACAGCACAGCTGTTTCCGAATACTCTGGTTCTTTTGGGTGCCTCGATGAATGTGAACATGGATTCTGTCACTGAAATCTTCTTGAAGCTGCTCTTTATCCTGTCTGTTCATCACCAGCATACAGCAGTGGCAGGAAATAAATGTAAGTATTGCCTATGATTTAAAACTCGATCCAGAGAGTGTTGAAAACTTCTGGCTGTTTTTTTTTTTTTTCTTTCTTTCTTTTTTCGCATTTAGAATAAATATAATTTTTGAGACAAACATTTATGCATCGAAATCATGACAGCAAGCTGCTAGCCTGAAAATGTTCTAAAACTCTTCTATAGATTTTTACCGTGAGTCTATGTACAGAATGTTGTTTATAAAGCTTACTGTATAAGAGTATCTGAAAACAGCGTTTTGCTAAGGGATGCATGTTCAGATGTATTTTCATTTTTGTTTTCTCTTTTGAACTGCAGTATTTTCCAAGGAATTGTGTCTTACGTGGAAATTACTGGCAGACTTCTATTGTGCAATATTTCTATTGTGTATTGGGTTTTAGCATTTGAAAATTTTGAAAGCTGGTATCTGTATATCCTGGATTAAGCTGGCACTCAACTTTAATGGCAATCACAGTGCAGTTCAAAAGCAGTAGCAATGTCACAAGGAAAAATGTGGACAGCAAGACTAAGGTCTCTGCATTGATTGCTTAGGGAGTATTGTTCATGCATGACTACAGAAGAGAATGATAACAGTTACAATAGAAAGTTGTTGGGTTTTTTTTTAAATGAGTTAGCCACTAGAGTGGTAGCACAAAAAAGACCGTGATTACAGTTTTAAGGACAATCTGCTCTCTAGGAGGGAAATCATATAGATAGACAGACAGACAGATAGACAGATAGATAGACAGATACACACACACACACACACATATATATGTTTATGTATGTATGTGAAAATCCCTGTTCCCAGTGTTGAATTAGGTTAATTATCTTTAAGTTAAAAAAGAAAAAACTTATCAAGAAATTAATTTTTAGATATTTTTTATTTCAGTAATAGAGATGAGTTATTCTTGTTCCATTTGATTCATCTTCAACAAGCTGAAGGATTTCATTTTGTGTTCTGTGGTAGTGCAGTAGCCTAAATGCCAGATGCTCATAACCTGAACTGAGCATATTTTCTCCCCTTCCTGTTAAGGCACTGGTTGTGCATCATAAGAATGGGAAGGGCTGAAGAAATGCTTCTATGAGAAGAAAGTGCATGCCAAAGCAATGAGGAATGTTCAGGAATAACCTTACAGCCCAGTGGCAGGGGACAGCTCCCTAGAAACATTTGAGCAATGGCAGAGAAGTTTGAAATGTTCAATGGATCTATAGCCTAGGGTTTTGCATATGGATGGTTTGCAAGCTAAACATGCTCCCATGAGCCAGACATTCACACTGCAGCACCAAAATGATCTTGTGCTGTCATTCAGTAATGATATCTCATTTGATACTCAAGTGCATAGTGTAGCCCTAAAGATGAATACTAAGTTCCTCTTGTTAAACACCCTGCTGCAATCCAGTCACAGCTTTAATTCTCTTCATCATTCTGCATTGTACAGTTTATGAATACATCCATTTTCACAAGACCATGATAATTGAATTGCACATTAATAGCATTTGGCACTATGCACGAAACTAAATCAGTTGCTTACAGGGAGGCATATTAAAACCATTGCAAAAAAGACTTGCATCACACAGCAGAACAGTAAAGCACTAGAGGTCACTCTTACAATTTAGGAAGCGAGGTTTCAGGAAGAGGCTCAAGCTTCTTTCCAATATAGAATTCTGAAGGATAAAACAAATCAAGTATGGAATACATTTACTACTGGCTTTCCCAGATACATCTAAAAAACAGGGGAAAATCCTGTGTCCAACGGTTGAATTGAATGAACAGATTTTTTCACATATAAGTTATTATTTATAAATGCAAAGTATTTTTATTAAGGAATGAATCCTAAGTACTATGTCAAAACACTCATCTGAATTGAAAATACAAGAACTCTGCCCATGCTACAGACAAGATACTATTACTGTGGGAAGAATAAATTAAAGTATTTAAATTAAACAATGAACAATAACTTACGGAGAGAGCTTGGCCAACCTAACACATACTGTTCATTTTCAGTCTCTAATCTGGAAAAAAAAAATCCCTCTATATATTGTTTTGGAAGTGAAAATTTCTGTAGGAGTAGTTTGTTTTAGATAGTTTACATCTGAAGTATTATGGTGTGAATTTTGTTAGCGTGTTAAATTCAAAAAATTATCTTAGGAGAAAGGGTTTTTCATAATTACTGATTATGGTAGATCCATGCAAGAGCCATTATTTACCTGCTTGAACTTACTTTACTCCTTTCTTCTCGTGATGTTAACCTGGAACTGAAATCCTTTTCAGTAGGTGCATCAATTTTTCGCATTAATGTACTTAAACACATTTACAAAACCTGGTAAAGTTTGATTTTCTTGAATGAATTTTGTTGGCTAGGTTTTCCAGTAGGCTGCCAATCATCAAAGACAGTAGGATGGGTTTTTAATTTTTCATCTATATTAATATACTTTTCTTGTTTTAATTTTATGGTTTTTTTTCTGTAGTAATAGATGCTGAATACTTAAGATTTTGCCTTTAATGCCAGTGGCCAGTAAGAAAAAAAAAATTAAATGCCTTTAAATGTCATCTTGAAGGGTCACTGGTAATATTACTAAGCCAGTTGTCCAAAGAAAATTTCTTAGCTCAAAAATGGATGTGTTCAAAATTATTTCTGTCTTAAAGAAATCGCAGTAGTCCTCTTCCGAGTAAAATGATTTGGAAGTTCTTAGGCTGTTGGGAGCTAACAGACCTTATAATCTAAAATATGAAATTTTATTTATAGGGTCTTATTTTGTGGTTTGTTTGTTTCCCCTGAAAATTAACACTGACACTTCCAATCAAGAGAAGTAGTAATTGGTACTGAAATTTTGAATATTTTAAAAGTTCTGTAGTAGTGCTGCTTAGAGCTTTCCTATACTTCTGTTCTCCCAAAGAATTGCATTTCCAGTGTAGTTGAAAGAAGTTGGAAGTGCACAGCCTTAGTAAGTAATTGTATAAGGTCAAGTGTGAGTTTTAAATGAAAGATTAAAGCTAGTACTGCTGGAAGTTTTTTCCACTGGAGCTATGAGACGTTTTTATTTTATTGGTAACTGTCTCTACTGTTGTAAATCACCAAGTTACTAAATCATCACTTAAGAACCTGCCAGAAATTGGTACTCCAGTAGGTGCAGGGTTTTTTTTTTTAAACTCTCTAAAACTGAAGTGTTGCAGAAAACATAATTAAACCCTCTATACACATCAAGTCAGCTGTGACTGAAAATTATTAAGGGAAATTGTTACATGAATGAAAATAAAGAGGAATTGGGGAGTTTCCATGCAAATTCTCACTTCTGCATACCTACTTCTCTGTGTTAAAACTCCCCAGTTTTACAGAAGCTTTTAAGAATTCAGATTTTCACATGTGTACTATGATCACAATTTCTATAAATGCATAAATGTTGTTTATTATTACTGCTATTATTACTAATACTGCTACTACTACTACTACTACTACTACTACTACTACTACTACTACTACTACTATGATTGCTGTTGATTTTGTTTTATATAACAGGAATTTCTTGTTAATGCTAGATTAGAGGACCTCTCTAAAGTTGACAGAGAATGACAGAGAATTAGAGGACTGAGTGAACACATGCCTTGATTATATCATCAGATGCAAGTCATTGTACAAGTATGGATGAAGTATTATCCCCTCGGAAGGGATTACTTGCTACAGGGAAAACATTGTATATTAATTTTGAAATTAATACCATTCTGATGTTAGTCATTGGTGCCAAACGGTTCTGTAGACTAGCTGACAATTTTATGGAATCACATTAAAAATATACTAAAGTGCTGCTTATCAAAAACAATTTAATTTAAAACATAATTCTTTTACTTTTAGTTTGTGAGCTGGAAGGGAGGAGAAGGTAGTCACTTCCTTAATTTTCTTTTAGTTTCATTAATATTTATTTTCTGCTTATTATCATCTATCTCTTTTATGGGAGAGCAGTGGAGACCTCATCAGAGATCAGGCCATCTCTGGGCAATTATTTACATGAATAAAACATTACAGACATTTCTGGTATATTTGGCATGTTGTTTGTACAGTAACATCAAAAACATGTATCAACATCAAATCTAAACTAATACCAGAAGAAAAATCAATCCTTTTTTTTTTTTTTTTAAGACTTTAAAGGCTTAGAATTCACAGAAAAGCCTTGGCTTGATTACACTGAGTATAATTAACAATTCCTATCCCATCGCTCTAGCTTTAAAATTCCCATGAATACATTTTTCCCTAAGCCCAGTCAGCAGGATGGATGAAGCAAACTTGGTTATGATTGGAGGTCTCATGATTGGAGGAAAGTGAGAGACAAGTAACAACATTCTCCAAGTATGATAGAATCAACCACAAGAAGAGAATGCAGTAGGTTATATGTTAATTATTTATTATATTTGCTGTGTAGGTTAGGAAATACTGAAATTTTGATTAAATGCCAGTCAGAAGTTCCAGAGGAAACACAAACTTCTTCATGTCTTCATAAATATTCAGTCATGGCCATTCTGTTTTCTTTCTTTCCTACATAAGAGTATGTAAGCCTACATCTGTGTTCATACACAAGAAAGACAACTTTTGACTAAGATGTTTTGCCAAAGTCTCACAAAACAATGTGTGCTTTTATCATTGTATATAAGGTATAGAGCTCAAGTTTAATATTCTTTCCAGATATTTCTCAGTTGCATTCCAAAAACAAATAGTTTGTCATATATTTATAGGTCTGTGGTGTTTTAACCCCAGCCATCAACCAATCCCAACATAGCCACTCAGTGATTTCCCCACCAGCAGGTAAAGATGAGGAAGGGTAAAAGATAGAAAACTTGTGGATTGAGAAGAGTTGAACTTGATGACCCTTGTAGGTCTTTTCCAACTCAGTATGTTCTGAAATTCTGTCCTGTGCATAGAAAAAGCAAAAGTCATATACGCAAGCAAACTAAAACAAGGAATGCTTCTACCACTTCAAGTGGGCAGGCAGGTGTTCAGCCATCTCC